GGATGACCCGGCCGCTGCTCAGGTGTTTCCTTGCCATGTTTTTCTGAACTGCACGATGATTCTGTTGACTGTCGAAAGTGGGATTCCCACATTTTGCGAAATTTGCCACTGACTTATTTCACCATCTGTTTGACCAACTATCCTTCCTCTAACAAAATCTGACAATTTGAGAGAACCTTGAGTTCTAGGCATGGTGTAGCACAAGATAATTAGTGTGCGGACCATTTTCATTTATATAGTGCTCTGTGAACACAAATTAGTTAGCATAAATCTGTTAAATGACAAAAAATTAGGTGTCTATTTACTTGTGACCACTCAGTGTACAATATAGAAGTGTAGAATTTGTATTTTGCATAGAATTGTCAAATTGCATTTGAATGTTAAGTTTTTCCTTACCTAACTCAAGGTTAACTCTTTGATTGAAAACTAACTAAAGTCAATTGAACTTTTAGTATTGTTAAGTGTGGAAATTGACTTTTCTCCACGGTAGCCAAAAAATCTTTCTGTTTACTGTGACAATTGACAGATCTCCCCCAGTCTTGGAATGGCAACCAAACATCCTCATGTGCTGACATTGGTAAACATGAACATAACAAGGCTTAACTGATCATTCGACATTGCCTACACTGGTATTGGGCAGTTTGTTAACCATTTATCAATCAATAAACTGACTTATCACTCAGCTTTGTCGAATTGCTCATTAGAGGAGAATGCACACTTTATTTACTTTGTTAAAACTATCACTTGTTTATTTATTGACTGAAATCTACTAAACAGTTAACCATTTGGCTATAACCAGCTCAGCTTTGTGTACACCATGGTTTTCTGTTGTACTTAACTGTAAAAAAAACTCCATCATTGTATTGTTTTGTTTTCTTCTACATGACATGATGGCAGATGACACAAATAAATTTTATTATAAAAGTGATTTTTCTTTAATACTGACATACATATACAGTACAAAAGTTTTAGGAGTTATGGTAATAGACATATATAAATTCAAAACTATTTAAAAACAATAAAAAAACCTTTGCACTTTCCAGTCATTATCCAAAAGTCATAACGGAGATTACCTGTGGTAATAGCACTCAAAAGCTTTGGGGATATCCCATCTGTCAGACAAAATCCAAAAAGCAGACGAGAAACTAGTCAGCAGTCGTGGATAATTCAATAAGGGTACAGAGTTGAGTGCTTACACCACAATGTCTCAACTCTTACTGCCTTTCACTGTCTGCAGCCAGTTGTGGGAGGCAGTTATCCTTAAAAAGATGTAATAAATTTAAAAGTAGAAATAAGATAAAATTAAGCCACCCAAAAATATATATTTCTACTAAACAATGCCTACCATCCTCCACCCTTAAAAGTTCTAAAAAAAATCCTTAAAATAGAATAAATACCACCCTAATAGTTCCACTATATGTTACTCCCAACCTCCACCCTTTTCTGAAAATGACTTGTTAAAAAAAGATCTTCTCATATCTCAAAAGAACTACAAGACTTACCTTAAGTGACCCACCAAACATTTGTGGTAGTTTTCATGCCCTTTGCTTTGGTTTTCTTTTTTCTATCATTTTCATACATGGTATTTAAGCTATGCTTTCTTGCAGGCATTGTATTAGATCGATAAATCCTGGTTAGTTTGAAAAAATTTGGACACACAAACAAACTAACAGATATCACTTTAATAAAACTACACATACATAACTTTATTTAATAAAACTAATATAAACCAAAGTATAGTAATGATATTCATAATAGTGTACAGAGTTATAATAGTTTTGTGAGTTGAAACAAAGAAACTTACAAAAACAAATAAAACCTGTACTAAGAAAAAAGTAGCTAAGAGGTGTTTGTAGTAGTCTATGAAATCAACTGAAGCAAAATTATTGCAAAATAAATGTAAAGTTGTTATGAAGGTAAACTTAGCTGAATATGCAAAAACATCTGAATACATGTTCACAATGTGATAAGCATAGGGTTTTGAACAAATTGCGCATGTGTATTTTAGACCTAAATAAGTCAAGAAAAGCCCATATCAATTGTATTTAGTGTAATTTTCTTTTTTTTAGGAAATTACCTCCAAGTTAAGTGTTGTTTGTGTGAAATACCTTGCAAATAAAAAAATAAAAAATAAAGTTGAAATTGAAGCCAATCATTGCGTGATGACAACAACAATATGCCATCATATAACATACTTATTGCATTAAAAAGTTTAAGCAAAAAAAAAACAGGTAAGGTTATTGTGAATTAAAAAGCTATTGTGCAATCTGGACTCTGTGGACAAAGGCCTTTCTAATGATATGAGATTTGTAGTGTTTGATCGAGAAATTTGCAAGAAAAGTTCCAGACAGACAAATGCAAGCGTATTATTTATATTCATAATGAAGTTTCATGCTTTTGGAATACATTTGGTCTCTTATTGAATCATCTTGGTCAATTTTACTTTCATATATTGAAGAACTCTTCAGCAGATTTTGCACATTTTCTTGTTGAAAGTCTAAATTTTGATCCTTTAACATTGTTTTCAAGAAATGAAAAGTCAGATATGAAAACTGTATGGTCATTTCAAGTTGGAAAAGTAATTAAAGAGGTCAAATTAAGATTTATCTCTTGATGTAGAATAAACAACTCTGAAATTTAATTATGTAGTAAAAGGGTTAACAATATATTTTTGTCTTTAGCAGTATTTGCATTCAAAATATACTTATTTAAGATGAAGCAAAAAAATAAAATATATTTAAAATCTAAAAACTGCCTTATAATAACTTTCAAGTCATGACCTTTCAGTCTTAGAATTATGAAACAGGGTTTTAAGTTTCTAAATAGATGATATCTTTTACACCAGGTTTTTTTATTAAAGATTTTAAATTTGTGTTTGTTTATTTTCAGTTATAAGCCAAATGCTTGTTTAAGAAATGTTTCATAATGTATGAAAATTGTATGGGATTAAAAGAAAAATGTAAAAGTATATTTTTACTTAAGGCTTTCTTAGCAAATGAAGATCTTGGAGACTCTTTGGATTCTGTAGAAGCATTGATAAAGAAACATGAAGACTTTGAAAAATCACTAGCTGCTCAAGAAGAAAAAATTAAAGTAAGATATTGTAGAGACTTTCTGAAAGTTCATTAAAAAACACCTTATATTTATTATGTGTATAAACAATGTCTAATGATTGCTAGCTCCAAGTTTGTCAGATAAGATGATCAAATAAATGTTTTTACTAGCATGTCTTTAATAGCATTTTAAAACTGTTTTTCGTACTATTAAAAAGTAACAATACCATTCACCAACATGAGGCTTCAACATAAACTTGGCTTGCTGAATGTCTTATAAGAGCACAACACCAAAACTTTTAACATTTTCAGTTTTATTTTTATGCAGTTTTTAATATCATTTTTGTAAAGTACTTTAAAATACTTTTAACTGCTAATCCTAATTTAAAATATGTGCTTCCTAAAATTTTTAATGTAGGTCTGTTGAACTTCCCATGAGTAAACTTAAAGTGAAGACTATAAATTTGCACATTTTTATGGTTATTTCTATCTGAAAACATTGAAAATTGGAACTTTGTTATTTTCAAAACTCCAAAAGCTAAATGTATTACTCAATTTTTTTTTCTAAACATTCCAAAGCTAGGCTTTTTTTTCCTTGTGTTTCTGTATATTAATGTATGCAAACAATTTAGATTTGGAATATCACAATATTACATCTTGTTTATATTATCTGAATTGAAGATGTTTTCCCATGCCTGTAAATTTATTTAACTTATTTTGGCTACTAGCAAATGTTTAACTATTATGAGGTACTTATAAAAGTGGATGCCATGCTAGCAAAGAAAAGTGAAACAATGAATCACAACTTCTGTGCCCTTTGGGGACATACCTATCCAGCTGACATGAATATCCAGAAAATACTGTTTTTGTATTTTTTTTTTTTTTTTTAATGTGCTGTCGAAGTTTTGGTCTGTGTTTGTGATGATAATTGTATTTTTAATATTGAAAAACAGATAGAATTTAAAAACTGAAACTGTGATTATTAAGCTGTGATATTTGCTGTTATGTAATGAAATTGTTTTGTTACTGAGAAGAATATATCACTTCAACACAATAATAATGTTTGATATTCATCTATGTAATTTTTTTCTGACAGTCCTGTATCTATTTTTAAATATGTAGTTGTTGAAAATTAAGAGCAGTGGCATCACAAAGGAAATAATATTTAAAATCATTGGCTTTTGGGTATAAAAACAAAACTAAATGAATTTACCTATTAAACTGGTGTAATACTTAATGTGTCAAAATTTTTATCCATATTTTTAGTTTTTAAGTGAAATTTGATATTTATTTTGGCAGGCATTGGATGAATTTGCTACAAAACTGATTGAAGGACAACATTATGCTGCTGATGATGTTGCTCAGCGAAGAGCAACTGTAAGTTTTTCCTTTTTAAAAAGATACTTGTTTTTTAACCAGTATTTATTATAAAAGAAGTATTGTAATGCTGTTTTTTATTATTTATCAAAATTGTTTAAAACAAACCAGTCAGGTGTATACTGATATTAAGTCTATGGGTATTTCAGCTACTAGAAAGGCGTCAAGCTCTGCAAGAAAAGTCAGAATATCGACGAACAATGCTTGAGGATTCATACAGTTTGCAGCAGTTTGAAAGAGACTGTGATGAAACCAAAGGATGGATCAGTGAGAAGCTAAAGACTGCTATGGATGACAGTTACCTGGTAAGTTGTGAAACTAATTAACTTAGTGTTTATTTCTTTCAGAAAATTGGATCAAAAATATCTTGCAGAGTTTAAATGTTTATTATTTACTAGCTGGATTACCAGTACCTTGGATGGGTGAAGTATCTCGTTTTTAACAATAGATAGGAAATTGTGCTTCTATTTTATTGTCATGATATAATAAACATTAAAAGTGCAATAAAAATACATAAAGGTACCAGTACTAATAAGAAAGACATACTGTTTTCAAGAATTCTATCAATATGACCCCTCATGTCATCCTGTATCACTATGTCAAGTTTGGTGCTAATTGATCAAGAAATGTGGAAGTGTATAAGGATCGGGTATGAAATGATAGATATATGACTTTGTATTTGTTCCCGGAATTTATAAATTTTTTGAAGGGAGTTGTGCAGTATTTTGAAATGCAATCTAGAACTAATTTTTATAAATAAGACATTGAGAAAAATTGTAAAACTATAGGAAAAAAATATTTTATATGAATTAATTTGTTTAAGAACAGAAAGTGCAAAATTATTTTATTCTGATTTAATATAGTTTACTCTAATACAAAACTTAAATAAGGAGACATACAATAGCTTTGTATTTGAAGGCATCATAAAACCTTGAAGCAGTTTTGTAAATTATACTTTATAGTTACCAATTTTTCCAACTTATAATGTACCCTATTAACTCTCTTGCTATGAGCATCTTTTTTGTGCACATATCATAAGGTTTTTGAGTTACATTCAGACTTTAGTTAAACTACTTTTTTGTCATTGTATACAAATAAGCTTGGCATAAAAACATAACTAATAATCCAAATTTTAACATTTATTTAAGTTTTAAGTTCTTAATTTTATAAGGCGATATTTTAAAAAAAAATCCTCAATTTACCCTAATGTGGGAATTGACATTTGTTCTCTAGTTATCTCCTCTTCTCTAATTTATTTACCACCCCTCCAAAAAGTATAAACCTTTATGTAAATTACTCATTATAATTTTTTCAAAAAATATTTGACTTGTTTGTAATGTTCAATCTTAAAAACTAAAAATTTTAAACAATGATTATTTTATACACAATTCTATAAAAATGAAATTGTTTCCAGTCTCCAAATTACTAATATACAATAACTTACTGTACAAGGTTAAAAAGTGGTAACCCCCCTCCCAATGAAACTGGAAAACAATCTCGTACACTCTACATGTTTCGACATATACTATTGCGTTATCCTCAGGAGTGTAATGTTTTGCAAAATATAACTTATTTATACAATTATCAAAATGCCAATTTACATATTACATTTAATTTATCGAATGACATATTATATTACATTGCTTTCTGTATAGAGAATTGTCTATTTAGCTTCCAGTTCAATCTTTATTCCCATGGGAAACACATTGATGATCTTGGATGAATTTTTAATTACTCTTGTCACATAGTTAGAAAGCCAGAAAAATTGTGATACTTATCAGAAATTGTGTTTTTGTGCATGTTATTATTCTATGTTCTTTAGTGCATTATTTAATTAAATAAAAAATTATTTATTGCAGTAGTACCATTAGTATAAAAAGTAGAGTTAAGTGTCATTGACAGTCTAAAGGAAAAAAAGAAGACCTAGGTAACTAAATTACTAAATTTATTGTTTTTCATGTGTATTCTTTATTTATTATTATAAAAGTAACAAATGTAGAAATTAGAAACTTTTTTTGGTTAGATCATGTAAAATATAGAATACCATCAATAAAATATTTTCACGGAGTACACTCGTGAGCAGTTTGCAAGTAGCCCATGCATTATGTAATTTGACAGGGTAACATAAGCTCCACACTTTCCAAATGATATACAAATTTTATGGTGGGAATATTAGTTAGACATGGTTCAAAGAGCTATAAGACAAAAAAAAATCCAATTATAAACAGGATAAACAAATGTAGTTTCATTTTACAATTTAAAGTCATTCTAAGAAAGAAACAATATGGGTAATTTAGGTGTTTTCAAATATATTTTTTCATGGTTACGAGGTCTGTCCAATTGACCAACCTCAAAGAGAGTTAGAGTAGAGAAAATACAGATAAAATATGAAGTTTTACTGAAAAAGAAATGTTTCAAATTTATTTTTGAGGTTTTAGTAATTATGTAAATGAAATATGAGATGTTTTACTCTTAACATGAAAATCACTTTGCACTCAAAGCTTTTAACGCTTTGACTCCATATGTCCTTGGAGAAATTTTTAATGAAAATACTTCATTAAAAACTTGATTTTTTTTATCTACAAATGACTCTTAATGCATACTGAAAGCTTGCAAAATTCTGTGAAGATACACAAAACATTAAAAGTTATAGTATGGAAACTTGGGATCAATTTTTGAATTGACTGTGCCCATAGCAAGAGAGTTACAACTATAGAATCTGTCAGGAGATGTGTGTTTGGTTCTTTAATTATTGAATAATGCACTAATGAAAATATTTTTTTTGTCAGTGTGTTTATATTGAAGTAATATTTCCAAATTATGTATTATACATATTACCCACACTTTAAATTGTTGAATAATAATGGGTTTCTTCCTCTTTTTTTTAATAGTTTTTGAGAATTTACTGTATTTTAATATTATTTTTAGAATTTGATATAATAGATATGATTTTCTCTTTCTAGGACCCAACCAATCTGAATGGCAAGCTACAGAAACATCAGAACTTTGAACAAGAATTGAATGCCAACAAAAGCAGAATTGATGAAATCACAAGTACAGGACAGGAGTTAATTGATGCCAATCATTATGCTTCTGACCACATCGGGTATGCTGATTTAGATTTTAATAAGATTTTACAATACAAGCTTGCCCTTCAACTTAAAACTGTCACATAGAAACAGCTTTGCAAGTGGGTGTGGCATAGCTTGAACTCGGGAATTTCTACGACAGTTTGCTTTCAATACCAATTTTAGGAAGGTGTATCAAGTTACTGAAAAACAAACTATATATATACATATAGCTTATTGCCAGCAAGAAAAATGTTTTTCACCATAGTCATTTTTTGTATATAAAGTCTAAAGTTCAGTTGTCATAGCCACTTATGTGAAAAGAAACCTGAAGTTTCTAATTTTTGTTTTAGTGGTTTGTCTTGAAATAAAGGAAGAAAAACTTAAATAATATAAGACTTTGAATTAGAACCTTCTTGATAACACTAATTTCATTAAAATACATTGATAGTAAAGTGGTTTTATTCAATTTTGAATGTAACTCAGTAACATTTTGTGACATGCACAGAAAGAAATTTAAAAATGGTACTGGGCATCATAGGGATAATGTAGTAGTTTTTGTTTTGCTATTTGGTAAAGACTTAAACATTAATTTCCAAACCATTTTCTTTGAGATTAATGTTTCCAATATAACAAAAAAATGTAACTGGAAGGAAGGGTGTGAAATAAAAATTCTTTATTGGTGTAGGAAAAATTCCACTCCAAGCGAGTCAGATGTAAGTTTACAAACTTGTAGTGCTAAAATCCATATGTTGATTCTATGCAGTGGGCGGTGCGTAAATAGCCCAATGTGTGTGATATTGCATTTAAACACAAAAAATAAGGAAGAAAATTTACCTTAGTTGAAAATATAAATTGGTAAATGTTTAATAACTTAAAGCTTCCCATCCCATAAATTATTTTATTAAATGTTTTCAATTTGTAGAATTAAAAGAATTCTGGTTAATTTGCTTTAAAAAATATACAAAAGAATATTAACTTTTTCAGAACAGGCATCATTTTGTGCACATCGGGAGGTTTTATTGAGTTACATTCATAATTTAATTAAACTACACTTGGCATAAAAATGTATCTTATAGTCCCAATTTTTACATCATATAAGTTTTGAGTTCATAATTTTATAAGCCTATTAAAAAATCCTCAATTTCCTCTAGTGTGAGAATTGTGATATCTGCTGTCTAGGTATCCCCTCTTCTCTACTTTATTTACCACCCCTCCAAGAAGTATGACATTTAATGTAAATTACTGATAATTATGTTGTCATTGTTCAGGCAAAGCATAATTTTTATAACCTTCAAACTTATTAGATTACAAAGCCATAAAATAGAAAATCAGACCCCCCCCCCACCCACTTGCTACACCCACATGTCACATTCTCTCTTTCAGAAATTGCCTAAAATTCTCTCTTATGTTTAGTACTATGTTATTTATATTCAAAAGAGCCAAGGTCTTAATGTATCAAATTATGTATTGTATTATGCTGTTTTCTGTACAGAGAATTGTCTATTTTGCTTCCAGTTCAAACTTTACTCCCATAGGAAACGCATCAACGAGCATAGCTCAGTTTTTAATGGTTTATGTCAAGTAGCTAGAAAGCCAGAAAAATTTATAGTTAATGGACATTGCCTGATCTTTTTGCATGTTATTAATCTGTATTTTTGGTGCATTATTTAATTAAAAAAAAATTAGTGCAGTAGTATAAAAAAGTAGTTTTAAGTGTCATCGATAGTTGACAGCAAAAATAAGATGGTCTAGGTAAGTACTTTATTTCTTGTTTTTCCTGTGTATTCTTTATTTATTATTATAAAAGTAACTAAAATGTATAATATAGAAATATTTTAGTTTATATCGGGTAAAATAAAGTAGAATTTTTCATGAGGTACACTCGTGGGTAGCCCATGTGTTATGTAATTCAGTTGGGTAACATGAGCTCCACATTTGCCAATTGATTTACAAATTTTATGGCAGGAGCATTTATTTATACACAGTTCAAAGATCAATAAAATTTGAGTACAAATAAATGTATGCTGTTTCAACTTTAAAGCTATTTAGGATAAAGAAATGTAGTTTCATGCTACAATTTAAAGTAATTCTAAAAGGAAAAAGGGTAATTTAGATTTATTTTAAACTAGTGTATAGCCCATCAAAAATGACAGGGCAAGTACTACCATCCCTACCGCATAGTATACCACATCATATTTCATAGCTAACTGAAATCAAGCTTCATCAACAAAAAGGTAGAAAAGTGAAGTCAAAGCAGTCAAACGTCAGTAAGTTCCTTTGTGAACCAATCAAAATTATGATCATTCATGAAATGAATTTGTAGCATATTCATAGAATAATTATTGGTAAGAATCAATTAGATTAACAACTTCTAATATATAGAAAAACCAGTGCATTTTGGTAATGCTAGGTTTCAACAATGGCTTATGTTGCTTAGCAACAAAAGTATAACCTTATATTGTTGTTAGTCTGTGTACTGAAACTATAAAATGAAATGTATAGACAACATAAGTGGAAAAATGTTTGTCGATTTCTTAACTTAGTCTGTTGATTGAAGAGGTTTGATTTTTATTAAAAACATTGGTGCTATGACAGAAAATGGCTTAATTCAAAAATGATTTAAGTTTAAAATTGAACCGATATTTTTACTTTCATAATAAATTTTATGCACTTGGCTCTAGGCTAGGTGATCCCACACTATATATTTACTTTAGGCTTATTATACCAACACTTACAACACTTAAGGTTTCACAGCACACACACACACACACACACACATCCTCATGGTCCCCTTGCACCCCATCACTAAATTCATAAAGGGCACACAGTAATTGAACTATTATATCAGGATAAATACATTTTGGCTTTTATGACTCCTCCTATTTCAAGAAATCAGGTGTGTTGTGTCACACACTGGCTTTTATGTAGGTTAGATTTTTTTTTGGTGATTATGAGATTAGATAGAGAAAATAACAGATAAAATATAGTTTTACTGAAAAATAATATTTTATAATTATTTAGGATGTTTTAGAAATTACACAAATGAATTTGAAAATTTCCAGATGAATATAAGTGTTTTTAATCTTAACATGAAAATCACTTTGCACTTGGACTAGTAAATAAAACTATTTGATACATTCAGCAGACAAATATTTATTAAAAATACTTAATTAAAAAACCTAATTTTTTTTTTTTTTTTATACAAAAGTCTTGTAATGTTTGCTAAAAGTCAGCCAACTTTTGTGAAGATACATGTATTAAAAGTTATAGTATGGAACCTGTAATGAGTACAAAATGGTTACGAACTCGGTTGATTTTAGTATAGAATTGAAGAAATAGAAAATCTGCTTAAATTACATATAACCTTATTTGACATGTAGCAAAAGAATGAATGAAATAGTCGAACTCTGGGAGTCCCTGAAGCATGCTACTTCTAAAAAAGGAACAAAATTGGAGGAAGCTTCTGCTCAGCAGCAGTTTAACCGTGGGGTAGAAGACATTGAAATATGGCTTTCTGAGATTGAGGGTCAGTTGATGTCTGAGGATTATGGAAAGGTAACTATTTATCATTCAATATTGGCACACATTTTTAATCATTTTCTGAAAATGTTTTGACTTTTTGGAAGGGAAATTTGACATATCAGAAACAGATCATACATTGTATAACTTGGCATTGAAACTTTCATATTAAAAGTCTGAAATACGGTTTTATAAGGTCTGGATATAAGATGGGTTTTTAGATTTATGTATTATTTCAACCACTGTGATGTACTTACATGGATGAAATTATACATCTGTGAATATGACCAGGTAAGACATTGGTGTAACTTTGCTGGATTGACTGTCTTTGTTGAAATCCTTAAGTTTGTCATATCATTTAAGGTATAAGATCTTGTTGACATACACTTTAATATATTAATTTGATTAAACAGCAAAAAAGGAATTGTATGTCTAACACACACAAAGTATCCAAACTAACTTCTGTCTTTAGAATATATTTATATTGTAAAGAAATACAAACCTTTATATGTTTGATTCTTAATATTTTTTTTAAACTGTTTTTATTGTATGTTGTGCGTGTATCATATACCTCTTTCTATAGGAAGAAACCTAATAGGATTATTTTACAATGACATGTGATAATAATCTTTGGTTGAAATTTTATAGGACCTGACTAGTGTTCAGAATCTGCTGAAAAAGCAAGCCCTCTTGGAAGCTGATGTTTCTTCTCATCAGGTATGTGACTAAATCAGGTCACACACAGTTTATCCTTGTGTGTGACCATATTCTAATCTCTCAAATAGTTCTCTTGATTAGGAGTCACGAATGAAACTAAAATTGAGTCGTAATTAGAAAAATTGTATTTTCTTATAGTGATGTAGAAAAAATGTGATTGTAGTAATTTGTTTTTAAAAACTATTCTCATCTATGAAATTCAATAAAATAAAAGTTTAACAGGAATGTTAATTGTAGTAAACCTGCATATGAATTCAATAATTTAAGTAGTTTACTATATGAAGAATTTTTTTTTTAATTTGATTTAATGGAAACCAACAAAGTAGAATATTAAAAAATATCTAAAACTAATATTAATATTTAAGTAGTATGGAAAGCCATGAAATTATTTATGTGGAGAATTTGTTGTTGCTAGATTTTAAGTTAATAGCTTTACATTATGAATAGTACATGATATCAGTGATTTACATTCATGCAAATTTAATATCACGAAGAACTGTTTGAAAACAATTTGGGTATAACAAATTTCAGATTTTTTTAATATAAGTTACGAGTTTGTTTGTCATTGTGAGATACTTTGTTGCAATTCTGAAAATATTTCATTTGTTATTGAGCTATTTTTACTCAGTTGCATTGAAAGTCCACACACATTGTAATATAGTTTGTCACTATAGCTTTTTCCATAGTTAAAGTCCCTAGGTTTCTCAGCGGTAAGTTTGAGGGCTTGTAACACTAATAAAATCAAGTTTTGATACCCACAGTGGGCAGAGCACAGATAGCTCATAGTGTAGCTTTATGTTTAACAAGAAACAAAACCATAGATAAAAAGATGGAAAACATGTTATAGGAGCTACAGTTAAGTTATATAGCATTGATAGATATAAGTTGTTGTTTTGTATCATTGATTATTTTAGATAAAAAGATGGAAAACATGTTATAGGAGCTACAGTTAAGTTATATAGCATTGATAGATATAAGTTGTTGTTTTTTATTGTAAGTTTTTGTTTTGACTGATGTATTTTGAGTTGGCTTGCACGTATTTGAAGAACAGTTGATAAAACTGATTTTTCATATTTGTTTTTGCTCGTAAAAAATATAAAATAATTAAATGTGTAGTTATTTCAGTGTTTATGTAGTGAACAGAGGCAGAAAAACATTTCTGATGCTTTATTTTAATTCATATCATATGACTTTTTAAAATTTCTATTCATACATCTAAAAAATAGAGAGGATTTGTTTTTAATTGGAATATCTTCCTAAACAGCAGAAACAAACTCAGTATCATAGTCTGAATTCTTAGCATTAAAAATGTTGAATAAGATGTTGCACTATTCTGTGGTGTTCACAGGGGTTCTCACACATCTTGAAAAACTTTTAAAGTTAATTTCTAGACTTGAAGAAGTCATGGAATAGTGATACTTAATAAAAAAAGACTTCTGACTATGAAATCTATTATGTAATTTATGAACAGTTAATCATTTCATCAAACAACTGACTAAATTAAAATGTGGTTAATTAAATATAATTTTAAACTGAAAAAGCGTGAGGATGGGGTAGATATGAGAGATGATCCAAGGCTGTCATGAAAATTGGCTAAAACGTCCTTGAAACTCTGGAAAAATTACTTTTAACCAAAGGTGAAAACCATGCTATACCACTGTTGATTGTAATAAAAGATTTTCTCTTTAAACCTGAAGATTTTTAAGAAAGTTTGTACATGGTTGATGATTTAGTTGAATGTGTTGGGACCAGATACTGGATTTATAGAACTTTAGAGTATGTTAAAGAAAAGAATCCAGGTTATTTATCTTTAGACATGAATATTTGGATGGTCTCTAGAAGCATTTACTTATTTTTTCTTTTGAAGGATCGGATAGATGGTGTCGTTATTCAAGCAGACAATTTTGTTGAAAGAGGACATTTTGATGGAGAATCCATTAAAGCTAAACAGGTAGCACTTGTTGAAAGGTATAATGCTGTTCACCAGCCTATGACAGCTCGACGTCAACGTTTGAATGATTCACTTCGGGTTCAGCAACTTTTCAGAGATGTTGAAGATGAAGAAGCATGGATCCGAGAGAAAGAGCCAATAGCAGCATCCACAAATCGAGGTTGTTATAGCACACATTTTGATTTTCCTTTTATTTAACACTAATGTTTATTTTGTTTAGCCTTTCTCATTTGTTTACAAGAATACTTGAAGCCTCGTTGCAATATGTATTGGCAAGTTATTTTCCAAAAGTTCTATTAAATATGAAATCATAAATGAGTTTTTCTTTCACACAAATTGTCTGTAGTCAAAATTTAAACCATTTTAATAAATTTTCAAGAAGTGGCATACTTACATGTTCTTAGTATTGAAGTATAATTGTTTTCTAATTATCATTGTAATGCAGCAAAAACATATTTATATTGTTATTTATAACATTGCAGGGAAAGGTACTTAGACTATTTATGGCATTATTAACTTTCAAATGAATAGTTAGAAAAGATATTGTGCATATGTTTTTCTGCTTTTAATTGGCATCTGTATTAAAGTAAGTGTACCATTTTATTTTTCTTAGAGGATGGGTATTACAAATCGTGTTGAGTGGGTATTTGTCCACTATGTAACATAATGAATTAAAGCATGCAATGGGTGGGTAATAATGCTGAAAATGATAAAATGTCTTAATTGTCAGCAGTGTATTTCTTTCAGTAAACATATCATGAAATTTCCCTCTTTGTTTACAGTTAATGATTTGATACTGGGCAACTTAAGCTCAGACAAAAGTAAATATAACATTGCCTGGAAAGTGAAAATGTCTATGAATAAGGTCGAATATTTTATAACATGAATAAAATGTGGGCAAGAACATAATGAAAGAGTGTATTAAAACATTTAATGAATTCTGTATTACTATTTAGAGCATTCAGATAGTCTTTCTATTGCCAACTCTGAATTTTTTAAAACAAAATATTTGAATATAGATAATTGATAAAAATATATAATGGGTTTTATAGTTTTTAGAAAACAAAATAAAAGTATTTTATGTGAGCAGTAGTTACTTAAAACATTTTTTTTTATAATGGTACACCTATAAACACAAGGATACATATCATCAAATGCAAGATTACAAGGTGCATAGACACAGTGCCACATTTCATTTGGCTAACCAACAGCTATTATTTGCTATGGTTAAAATCTAGATTCACAAAAGTAGGCTTGGACAGTCAAATCCATAAACAAATCTTATACAATATTGTGGAATACAAAATTACTGTTTATTCAACCAGATGATAATTTTTTTAAATTAGATTGAAATAATTTTACAATATTACATTAAAAAGTGATTGAGCTCTGTGATGTTTTATGGAAAAAAATCTAAATAATGTTTAATATGAAAAAATATATTGGTTTGTAATGGTGACACCATATGGACCATCACAGGTTTAGGTATATCTTAAAAGATGTTGACCATAGGAACGTACTTGATACACCTGCTATTGATATTCCCAGGGTCTATGTGAATATAATTTTTCACATTTAATGTAATGATTTGAGGTTTGTAAGGCCCTTATTCAATAGAATAACAATAAATAAATCAAATATAACTCTTTTCATATTTCATCAAATTTTCAGTAATTGCTGGGAATAGAAAATGCTTTGTTCTGAAGTGGCTAATCAAGTTTTTTTTTAGGACGGTGTGATTTGCTACAAAAATACACTGTACACTTTGTTGTTGTGTTATAAGAGTGACAGCTAAATTTCACTTTTTGATTAGTCTATCAACTCAAAATAGGGATTAGTATGCTCAGATAGCTGTTTTGTTGGAAAATAAATCTGAAACATACAAGATTTTAGAGCATTAATTGTTTATAACAAAATCATTTTCTGCCTTAAAAAAACTAAAATTATAGAAGTACAGTTATTTGGTAAGTAACAGTTGTTTAGACATAGGAAAAAAGTTTGGACAGTTTACATTCACCACTTTTTTTTTCAATTATTTGTACACCTACAAATATGATGAGGAATCAAAGCAATAATTTTGTTATTAGTGTATGTCTGTTTCTTTTTTGGATATAACCATTTTGTTGCTTGGTTTCTAGTGTAAGCTCACCAGACAGATTTGTTAGGAGTAATTATAGTCAAGCAGAGAAGCCCAAAATAAATTATGACACTGCCTGAAAACATAGAAATGGATATTCTCTCATTTCTTTGTGAAATAAAAGAAATATTGTTATTCTGAGTAATTTTAGGAACCTTTCTATAATTAAACTTGCCAAAACACTAAGGATCAAGGGGTATACTTTGGTAGGGAGGGGTGATGTGTGCATGTGAAATTAAGCCCATCAAATAGTAGCGAATTTATAGTTACAGATGTTGGTTTCTAATCATTGATCAGTGAAATAGAAAGCTGTGTAACTAGTATAGTATTGTGAAACATTGAATTATATTTATTGATGAAAAGTCTTAAAATAATAGATAGTAATGAACATATTTAATTTTTTGTTTAATTATATAGAGATGTTTCTGAAAGGTTTCTTTCATATTAAAGTATAATTTTACAGTCATGGGTTGGTGTACGTTTTACACATTTCCAAACTATTGTTGTTCATGCTATAGTCTACCAAAAACTTGTATATGATTACAATAAATATATGTATTTTAATTCTTCTTTAAAAAAATGTATGGACCTGTAGAAAACTTCTAAAGATTAGTTCAGTTCACAAGAAAGAGTTGTATTTAGTTGTTAAAAACTCAAGAGTTAGTGAAAATTGATTAATTCAAAATGATTTCTTTATTTCTTTCTCTTAATAGGTCGAGATTTAATTGGTGTGCAAAACCTGATCAAGAAGCACCAAGCAGTATTGGCCGAGATTAACAATCATGAACATCGAATTGATAATGTATGTCAAATTGGACAGGATATGATCGATGAAGGTATTCAGTACATTAAAGTTTTGGATACTGTTACATTTGTAACTACATTACAATAATAGGAACATTGATTTTGTACATCATGTCTTATTTAACCTGTTTTCAGGAATGTCCTTGTTGACTTAAGTAAATGAGAGAAAAAAGTTGTGCTTATTCTTTAACTTAAGTAATATATTCTTACATTAATGCTATTTTATTGCTTCTTCACTTTTTATGATAATGATTACTGTGGTATATGTTAAAATAATGGTTAAACAAGTATGAAAAATACTTATTTCAGGCCACTTTGCATCTGGTGATATTCGAAAGAGGTTGGATCTAGTTAAAGAGAAGTGGTTGCAATTGAAGGTTAGTTTTACTGTTTAAATATGTAGATTACTTGTCTTCCAGTAAATATTTTACTGTCATTCATTATCTGTTGTAAAGATATTTCTATTGCTAGAAAGCATTAGATGCTATCAGTTTGCAAGATTGAGATGAATGGCAAAGTGTCATTCAGTAATTTTCTCAAGACGAAATATAGTTTAACTGAAAAAGAAAAATTTTTTTTAATAAACTTTACTTACAACCTTGTAAAAATAAGGTTTGTGATCTCTTTTAAGGTCTATATTCATATATATATATTTTCATCTACTAAAAAAAACAAACAAAAATTAGCATATTTTATGGAAATTGGTTATATTGATAACAAATGTTCATTTGTTTTTGTTTTTATGGGTGAGTTGTATATGCTTGTTTTTGAAGCTTCTGTATCATTTGCAAAGTATTTTGAAATCATTATCACTGAAAAATTAAATATGATTTATGTTAGCAGTAGTTTGAAAACAAGGAGAGAAAAATAGCTTTTTAATCAAAGGATCTAATTGACTCCTGACTTTAGGATAAAGCTCACCAGCGTAAGGAGGACCTTGTCGACTCTCTTCAGGCCCATCAGTACTTTGCTGATGCGAATGAAGCAGAGTCATGGATGAAAGAAAAAGAACCCATTGTTGGGAGTCAGGATTATGGAAAGGATGAAGACTCTGCTGAGGTATGTAGACATAATTACGGATATGTTACTTCTAAAGATCTGAACAACTAACATTTTTAAAACTTTAGTTGAAAGCTCTGCAAAGGTAAAATTATGTACTAAATAAGATTCAATTTGTGAAATGAAAGAAATCCTATTTATAATTTGCACTTTCAGTGACCTTAAGTAGCATTAGCTGTGAAAGGGTTGCACTTTATAATTGGTGTACACTTAAATACACTGTTTTATTTATAGTGTTAAAAACTAGTTTATCTGTTATAATTTTTCATCTTAAATGTATTCATATTTGTGAGTTATTTAAATAGGAGGTTAATGTGGTCTAATTTTTTCATGACCATTGTTTATACATAAGGTCTCTTCAAGTCCAAAATTGCACATTTAAATCCTAAATTCAATAAAAAAAAATTCTAATCTATTTCAGTAAATTTATACCAGAAACTAGTTTAAAAATGTCAGTATTACACAATAGTTATCTAGTTAGTGTTAGAAATAACGGTCACTATGTAAACTTAGTTTTGTAGGGTTTTTAGGCAGTATGTTCGATCAGTGGACTGAGTTTACTATGGACTTCTTCAAGCATTTATTATTTTGAGACAAATCATTCATCAGCATGGAGCTGTAAATGTCATTTTGAAATAAGAAACAAACAAAAGTCCATAGTAAACTCAATCCATATACTATGTAATTCCTTTGTTTTTTCTTATGGCCACTGTGACTCATATTAGTGTCTACCAATAAACTGTCTAGAATTACAAAGAAAGTGATGTATACTTCAAGCTTCTATATACAAGCTGAACTATGATTTTATTGATTCAATTAGCATGTATATATAGTCATGGAATTTTTTAAACAGGTTTTTCAGTACTGGAATTCCTTTAATATCAATTTGTTTCAGGAGATAATGGAAAAGTCCTTGAATGTAACCCCATTACACCCACATCCACATTTTTAGTGATGACAAGCCATTGTGATTATCCAAGTTTTGTGAAAAACTATCCCAAGAAATTGAAAATACACTGACATGGCAACATTGATCAATAACAGGCTTAGAACTATGTACCTCTGTCTGCAAGCAAACAGGTTTCATGCCTATTGCTGGAATGATATTAATGTAAAATAAGCTCAAAACTTGTTTGGGAGAAATATAAAATTGTAAATAGGGTAAAGAACATATTCAGCATAAACACTTTAAAAAGAATTAATATTTTTAGCCTAAGTTCTTAATCAGTTAATGCCTCAAACTTGTTAATAAAAAGAAAGAGGGAGAAATGTAAATCCAGTGGTAACAAAGAATGAGTGACATAAACCTATTAACCCTTTTGCAATTTATTTACCACTCTTCTGAGAAATTTAGAATTTAACATAAATTACTGGTTATAACATAGTTATTGCTCAGGCAAAACATCATTTTTTTAGCCTATAATCTTATTTGGTTTTGGAGCCATAAACTAAAAGGAGACCTCCCCTTTCATGTTCACCTGTCACATCCTCTCTTTCACAAATTGCCAGTAGTTCTCTTTGATGTTTAATATTATCATTTATTATTAATAGAAAGCCAAAGTTTCAATTTATCAAATAACGTATTATATTATGTTGTTTTCTGTACAGATGATTGTCAATTTCACTTCCAGTTCAAGCTTGATTCTCATGGGAGAAATATCAATGAGCTTAGCTGAATTTCTAATGAATCTTGTTGCATAGATAAAGCCAGAATAATTGTGATAGTTATGGGACATGTTTTGATTTTTGCATGATATTGTGTGTTCTGTGGAGCATTATTTGATTAAATAAAAAATTATTTATTGCAATAGTGCCATTAGTATAAAAAAAAGTAGGGTTAAGTGTCATCGACAGCAACAAAAAGATCGCCAAGGTAAGTACTTTATTTCTTGTTTTTTGTGTATTCTTTATTTATTATTATAAAAGTAACTTAAATGAAATAATTATAACATTTTTAGGTTAGATGAGGTTATATTAGGTAAAATTAAGAATAATAATAATAAAAAATTCACGGCATATGCTCACGAGCATCTGGCAAATAGCTCATGTGTTATGTAATTTGATAGAGTAACGTGAGTTGCACATTCACAAGTAATATGACGTGAATATTAGTTTAGACATGATTCAAAGGGCAATAAAACAGTGAACTTAAATTATAAACAGATGTGTACTGTTATGATATTTAAGCAATTAAGAATTAACAAATCAAGTTACATGTTACAATTTGAAGTCATTCTAGAAAGAAAAAAGGGTAATTTAGATTTTTTTTAAGTTTACTGAAAGCTTGCTAAATTTCATAAAGATACAATAAGTACTTTCAAGAGTTATAGTAATCGATGTCTCCAACCATTATTAGAGTTATAGTATGTATACCACCATGGTTCTGTAAAATACAGGTGTCCGTCCTAATAAGGTTAACCACCATGCAAATAGTTGCCATTATAAACAGCCCATCAGCTTATACCTGACTAGGTTACCTGTTATTTATACAGTGGTCAGTCTTGTGAGTTATCCTTGTTTTATGTAGCTTTAATAGCATTTTGTACAAAATGTAATAAAACATCAGCTACATAAGTTGTAGAGTTCACCTTCTGTTAGAACTAGTAAATTAGGTCCTGGGAAAAGGTCCTAGAATTTATTTTCTTGTTAGTCTTTCGTGAACCATGAATAGCTATGTTCTCTGGCTAAAATAGTATTGGAAAATGCTATGTTTCAGAATAATTTAAACAACTTGCCAATCATTCTTGTTCATACATTTACAAGTTTATAAATAGTAGTCTGGTAACCTATGTTTGAAGATTGTGATTATGTTTTTAAACAGTAGTTAACTATGTAATAAAGGACTGGCATTCTTTTAGTTCATGAATATGATTTTCATGTTGCTGGTACTGTATTTGTGTTATATTATTTTTGTCTGAAAGCTACATAAATAGTTTTCTAGAAGAATTCAGATAAGGATATTTAAAGTTGTAAGCCTAAAGGGTTGCATGATTGTGTTCAGTTGTTACTTGTTATTGATCATGTGGAAGTTTTTTTGTTTTTATCAGGGTAATGTGTTTGCTTCAGACAGCAAAAAAACATCCTGTAAAAAGTAGAAAAGACAAATATGTAGCAAATGAAAAAACTAATTAAAATTTATTGGATATAGAAAATGGAACTTTCTGATCAATAATAATAAAGATTCTTGCTCTTCTCACTGTTCCATTGTTTTTGTTTTCTTTCTAATGTATATGATTGTATTAAACCATTAGTTTTGTATGGTGTTATTTGAATAAAAATACAGATAATCTGTAAATGAAAGAGTAATGAATATAAATTTTTTGTTTGAATGCATGGATAAGTGTTACTGCAGTTTTAAGAATGATGATTGTATTTTTAGGCATTGCTGAAGAAACATGATGCACTTATGGCTGATCTTGAAGCTTTTGGTAATACCATCTTATCCCTGAAGGAACAGGCACAATCATGTCGGGTAAGTGTTTGAACTTGTGTAGATGGGAATTGCACAATAACAGATCTTTGTTCTTATTCATGTAACAGAATTAATTATATTTTCTGTTCTGTCATTGTGTAACATAATTAAAATAAAAAAAACTTGGAATATGTACCATGATGTTTTCTTCGTATTTCCTATCAAATAATTATGTTGTGTGTTTGTCTTTTCTAGTTTTCGTTAAGATGTATATTTGTATCAAAGTAAAAAGGTTAATTTTAAAAGTACAAGAAAGACATATGTTAGATATCTGGGTTGATATCGGTGCCAGATTAAAAGCATAGTGGCTCTTGAGCAAATTCAGTTTTGTGGGCCTTCTTTATCTCCACAGTCCCTCATTTTCTTTTGAATTGAAATGTTATCCATCAAAAACAACCTTTTTGCAAAATATGATGCTTTTCAAATTTTTGTTTTTCCAGCTTTAAAAAATATCTGAGAAAGCTATTAAACAAAAGTGTAGTGACTGTGAGTTCCTTGTTACCATGGCCTTACAGACAATGGTGGATTAAGACACTTTGGTGCTCCAGGACAGAGAATAATATTGGACCCCTTCATGCATATTATTTTTGTTGTACAAGACAAGCATTACTTCATGGTTAAATATACACCTTGGTCTACAGATGTGTGTATATTTATAATTAAATTTTTTTATTTTAATTTTTTTTTCAACAACAACACTACATACAGTAACCTAGCCTAAAAGTTGTTTGTGCCCCTGGGTAGCAATCCCTTCTGCTCTCTTGTTAATCTGCCACTGCTTATAGGTAACTACCCACTTTGCCTTTTGGTTAATTTGTGATTTCAGTTTACTAAGTTTTTATATGTTGGAAATATGTTATTGCAATTCCATTGTGTAATATATGTGTTTTAAGTCTTGTATGACCTAAAACAACGAACGTTTTATGCCATTTATAACCTCTGGCTCAGTAGCTATGTTTGAGTTGTAAATAGACAAAATACAAGTTTTGCACATTTTCTCAATATTAAATCAAACAACTTATAGTTTTTGTAAATTATAAATTTAATTCTTTGAACTCAAAAGACACTGGATTTATTACTTCATTATCAGTTATTAACAAAGGATAACTTTATTCTGAAGCAACAAGAGACTCCAGTTGTTGATCAGGCTGGCAAGGAGTTTGTAATGGCTCTCTATGATTACACAGAAAAGAGTCCTCGTGAAGTTTCCATGAAGAAAGGAGATGTCTTGACCCTGCTCAACAGCAACAACAAGGTTAGTGACACTGTATTACTGATGTATGCTTTTTTTAAATCAAATGTAAAGTAACCATGGTACATATTCAAATTGTAAGATTTGTTTCATGACATAGTTGTGAAGTAGTTTACACACAAAACTTCATAAAAATTTATGTTCATTAAGCTGTAATGTCTGTTAAAATTGCAAAATTGGAAGGGGGAATAATATGTTTGACAGAAATTTGGGCTTTATAGAATAATATGATGGTCTTCAAATTATACAAGCTCATTAGTTTTATTAAAACCTTTGGAAAGTCAGACTTCTCAATTCTTTATTAGTTAACTTTTTCAACTTAACATCTGACCATCAGAATCATTGCATTGCTCATAAAACCCCCATATCGATAGGCAATTTTTTCAAATGCATGCACTTTTATTTTTACAGAATTTTTTTAAAGTCATATTAATTATCAAGGATTTAATGTTAATATTATTCCAGATTAAGTAAATTATGTGAAATTTTCAGTGTTTCTACAATCAGAGTTATGATTTGAGTTTATTTAATTTATGAAATTTGGACTGAAATATATTTGTATCTATTATAGGACTGGTGGAAAGTAGAAGTTAACGACCGCCAAGGATTTGTCCCAGCTGCTTATGTCAAAAAAATGGAAGCTGGTTTGTCGGCTAGCCAACAGCACTTGGCAGATGGCAATAGTATTGCTGCTCGGCAGTCTCAAATTGAGGCTCAGTATGAAAATCTGCTGTCACTAGGTCGTGAACGTCGTCAAAAATTGGAAGAAACTTGTAAGGCTTACCAACTGGTGAGAGAAGCTGCAGATTTAGGACAGTGGATTAAGGATAAGGTATGCAGACATTTCTGAAGTTCTCTTGAAACATTGCTACATTATGTCTTGGTTGTTCTTGTTCATTTTTTCTGGATACATCATACTGTATTACACTACTTTTGTATACCTGTGACTTGAAAGATAAAAATAAAAGTTATTTATAAAATTGTTTTTGCTGTGTGAGTTAGCTGGAACATATTTGAATGCTGTATGAAATCTATCAGCTTTAAAATTAATTCATGAACTGGAAGAAATGCATTTATTTCTTAATTATGATTTTTGATAATCAAGATTTTGTAAGTATTTGTAGTACTGTAGTATTGGCATTAGTAGTACTTTAATGAAGTTCACCAATAGGACATTAACATTAGTAATTTATGTTTTAAGAAGTGGAGTGCATGAAGTAAGCTGGAATTATTTTATATTTCATGTTTTTTGTTTCTTTTTAATATAGGAAATACATACATGAATTGTTTAACATTTTTTGATGCTATTTTTGTGAGGGAATTATTGCCAAAAAGATTTTTTTGATATATTTGCATTTTTAGTTTTAAACTTTGAAGCTAACATTTTGTAAAACTCTTGGTAGGAACAAGTAGCTACAGTCCAAGAAGTTGGAGAAGATCTTGAACAGGTGGAAGTTCTTCAAAAGAAGTTTGATGATTTTCAGTCCGATCTGAAAGCAAATGAAGTTCGTCTAGCAGAGATGAATGAAGTAGCTACTCAATTGATGAGTGTAGGGCAGACAGAAGTTGCTCTTAAAATACAGACCCAAGTGGATGTGAGCATTTTTTGTCTTTTTTAAGATCTATGATCTGCTATCAGTTTCTTATAAGAAATCACCAAGATTGTTTAGAAGGACACAAAGCTAAAATTTCTTAAGGCTGATAAAGCTGCATTTATACAGTTTTTTTTTAAATATCCAAACTTAATTATAAGTTTGTTTGAGAATGGTTTGGTTAATATTGAAGTGTTGGATATAATTTTTAATGAACTAAAATTTAATTCTAATTGTTCAGTGTATTACTTTTAATACTAAATTGTATGTCAGTTGAATGGTGTTTAATAGTGAAGTTGTTAATTGCTTCATGTATATTACAGGACTTGAACCAGAAGTGGCAAAACCTTCAGCATGTGACATCTGAGAGATCCACTCAGCTTGGATCAGCTCATGAAGTTCAGAGGTTTCATCGTGATGTGGATGAGACCAAAGACTGGATTCAGGAAAAAGATGAAGCCCTTAATACTGATGATTATGGCCATGACTTGCGCAGTGTTCAGACTTTGCAGAGGAAGCATGAAGGGTTGGAACGTGACTTAGCAGCACTGGGAGATAGGGTAAACTATCTCAGTTATAACTTGAAGTATAGGCTTGCTTGAAATATTACAGGACACCTTCTACGTATTAACACAACGTATACGGACTCTGTCATTTTGACTGACCGTTTAACCACCTTGTAGCCATGAAACCATGCATATAACTGTCTTCACAATATTTGGCAACCTTGTAGTAAACATTATTACTCTGTTATATACAAAAATCAGATTTTTTTTTTTTAAATAAAGATTTGTCTGTGAATTTATGAAGTCATTCTGAGTGAAAGATGATTTTTATACTAATAATAAAAATAATTCTTTTCATCTTAGTTTTCATATTTCATTTAAGGTAAAATTATATTTTATTTCCATAACACTACTACAAAAAAATTAAGAATATTAATTAATTAATTTTTTCCTTGAATGACACAGACATTATTTATCTGAAGAGCTCTAGGCCTATTAACTTTGCACAGTTGCTTTCATTTAAATTTATTATTTTATTGCTCTTTGAACCATCTCAAACTAAAGTACAAAGCAATATATTAGACTTGTACACTAGCTAACTTGTACAGCTTGTTGCTGTATATGTTGTACCTCCCTGTTGTTTCAGTAGCAAGTCTGAGGGTTTATAATGTTAAGATTTGGGTTACCAATGGTGGGCAGAGTACAGATAGCCCATCATGTAGCTTTGTGCTTAGCAACAGACAAACAAGTTGATATGCCGTAAAGATTGTTAATTTATATGAAAGTGAAATTTAAGCTTAACAACCGTATTAAATATTTTAATTTTTACTATACCTGAATTTATACTTGCATTTCAAACAACTGTTAAGTGTTTTTTTGGCATTAAATTGATTTTTACTATGATTTTAACTTCACTAATGCTATGAAAGACATTTCATCTTGTGAAATAAATTTTAATTAAAAAACTTTTTGTGAATTTAACACAGATTAAACAACTAGACGAAACAGCTAGCCGTCTTATGCAGACCCATCCAGAATCTGCAGATACTATTTATGCTAAGCAAAAGGAGATAAATGAAGAATGGACTCAACTTACTGCTAAAGCAAATGCACGTAAAGAAAAGCTGTTGGACTCTTATGATTTACAGAGATTCTTGGCAGATTACAGGTGAGTACAGGGAACTGTCCTTCCTCCTAAAGTTGATCTGTTTGTATGCAATTCATTGTACATAAATTTGCAACTGTATAAACTTAGCACTAAAAAGAATTGGTTAAACCAGTTTTCAAGTTTGGAAAGTAATTCAGAAATAACCAAATCTGTTTAAATAATAGAAGCATTTAACACAGAAGATTTTTAAAAGTGCTTCATTTATATGCAGATTTATACATGTAAATGTAATTATTCGTAGGGACCTTATGTCTTGGATAACAAGCATGATGAGTCTTGTGTCTTCAGATGAGCTGGCTACTGATGTTACTGGAGCAGAGGCATTGTTAGAACGCCACCAGGTAGGTCACTTTTAAGATGTAAGCGAGCATTGCTGCCTTTTGTGTTAGTTGAATGTTTGTCATGTTGATCTTTTTTGAAATTAAAACAAACTTTTTTTATGCCACTGTAGAGTTAATCTTGGATTTTATGAAGATATCAGTAAATTAAACAGCATGACAGTTTCTTTGTTCTCTGAAATGATCTTCGTGTATAGAATATAATTTATGATATTGTGTATATTTTATTTTTTTCTTAACCTTAGGTTTCAAAACTATAAGGTACTACAAACTTTGATTTGAAAAACATAAATGCCTGTTACATGTTCCATAACCTTCCTCAAAGCAGTGAATACACAAAATGAGGATTACAATGATCTTTACAGCTCTTTGTTTACAACTTTACACTAGTCTCTTTGCTGTCCCCATTAACTTGCATCATATTCGTGGTATTGCAGTATTTACAGATTTTTATTTCCCTAGCTTTCAGAGATGCAGTAGTTTGGGGAAAAGGTTATCCCATTCATAACTTGAAAAAGGAAACCACTCTTATGAGCAATACCATAAAAAAAATACACAATAATATTCCAATAGGATTTAAGATTAAAAATTGAAGACTGAAGGCAGTCTCTCTCTACAAATGTTCTCAGTCTTCTCTGTTTCTGAAAATCCATATATATATATATAGGTTTGTACGAGTTGAAAATAAAAAATATTTCAGAGAGAAATATCTTTCTAAAGGTTTTCAACTAGTTAATGGGTAAGAGATTGAAGGGGATATTGGTTGCAGATGTGTTTGTATTTCTATTATTTTGTGAAAGTTTGGGAACAATTTTAAATGGCTTGGAGATAATTATTTTACTTGGAATCAGCCTTTATTTTTTCATCAGCTGATTATCAAAATTGAGGGATAAAAAAGTCCATTCCTTATCTTTATAATCATCAATTTTAAAAACCACTGATATGCCAAAAACACTGCTTGTAGAAATAATAATTTAAAATGAGGCTTGCCCAGTGATAGGCATTCCATACTGGAACCAAGGATCTGTGGTTTGCATCTCACTGCCACACACACACAAAATAACACTTCAAGTTTTAGTAGCCATAAGTATGCTGCTAGAATACCTCAAGAATTGGCAGTGGATGGTGTTGACTACTGCCTTCCCTCTAGTCTATCAATTCAAAATTAGGAACAACTAGGGCAAAAATAGCATTTGTTTTGGTTCAAACTTTAGTCTCCTACATATCATAATTTTTATACAGTTTCTGGAAAGACACACTAGTGTTTCTAAGTTAGCTTAGTTTCTTTTAATACTTTTACTACTGTTTATGAAATGTTCAAATCCACATTTGTTTTGATGCCTTTTACGCTTTGAAAGATATACAGTTGGCAATAGAACACTTTACTTGACAATTTATAAATATCATAAAATCACAAGCAGTACTTGTCTACAACTACAAGCATTGTAGCCTAACAGGTAATGTTGGAGACAAGTGTTTTTGTCTTCCCGCTTAACATTGACCAACAGTATATTAGATGTCGGAGATGTATTAGTTTCACAAATCAGAGTAAGAAAAAACATCAAGATTAGATTGCTTCAATCTGAAAATGAAAAGAAAATAATGTATTAACTGTCATTTCCAGTTAACATCTGCAGTGTTGCCACCTTTGTCACGAATGTTGTTTTCATTTATGCAAGAAAAAACATTTCAGTTACTCTTATATAATTTCATACGTTTTTGGTTGCATTTTATGTATATTTTGCTTCATTACTGAATTAAGATAAAACTAGTTAAAGAACTTTACTACAAAATTTATATATTTAAAAAAATACAGTTCATGTTGAAATGTTAAGTTGTACATAATATTTTTACACTTTTCTAATAATGGCAATTATAGTTATACTGCATTTAAGTTGTATTATTGTGCACTATAATTATAATTGTTTTACTAAATTATGTGTAAGACATTAGGCTGTTTTTGATAAACACTTTTATATTGAGAAGAATATAATAGCATGTTGTAGCACGAAAACAAATAACCTGAGACAAAGCTCGCGGAGTTTAAATTTAAAGAATGCTTGGTGTTAAACTTGTTCCAGGTGAAAACATTCATTGAATAGACTTAATTTTTTTGACACCAAATTTTTGGATTTTCTTTGTAAGAAGTAGATTTGAGAAGTAACTGCTGTAATTTTGTATTGGATTGGAATTTCAAGAATTTACTTTTTATGTGGAAGATACTACAAAAATATCAAATTAATAAATATAATGTTTGTTGGTACTCTTGTTTATTTAAAAATGATAAAAGTTTTGACTATGTTTTTAAGTTATGAAATATTCAATTTTTGCAACATGCAGGAACACAGGACAGAAATAGATGCTCGTGCTGGAACCTTTCAAGCTTTTCAGGCTTTTGGTCAGCAGCTATTACACAGTGGTCATTATGCTAGTGTGGAAATACAGGAAAAGCTAGAAAAAATGCTTGAAGCTCACAAAGATTTGGAAGAGTAAGTCATCTGATTTCTTTGCTTCCTTGCCTTATTTAGGCCAAGCATGGCCCAGTGATTAGTGCTAAACTGTGGAGCTGGGTTTTTGTTTTTGAATACTGTCTCAACCAAAAAAGAAAAAACTGTGCTCTGCACTTTGATCTTGTAGGATCATTGTAAGAATGATGTGCAAATCCTGTTACTCAATCTGACAAGAGTAGCCCTAGAGTTGGTGGTAGATGCTGTTTACTAGCTGCCTTCTTTCTAGTCTATGACCTCAGAATTAGGGATGGCTGGCAAAGCTAGTCATCATGTAGTTTTAATTGAAATCCAAAAAACAAACCTTACCTTATGAGTTAGTCTTAAGATTTTATGAAGCCAAAGAAGGATAAAGCCAAAGCATTAATGACAATATAGTTTTTATGAAATTGGAATTAGTCACGTTTCTTATAGAAACAGAAAATTTGATTAAATTGAATTAAATAACATGTAATAAAAAGTTAGCAAACAATTATTTATAAGCATAATGAAGTGATTTTTGGGGGGAACATGCATGTTTTGACAGAACATTGGTCTGTTTTCTTTATTTGGACATTAGAATTGCATGAAATAATATCAAGTTATACACATTCTAACATACAAAGATGTATACAAATGTTGACACTTGATAAAAGGAGCTGGTTCTACCCGAGGCCATCTGGTTTATACACCAATTCTGTCAGAGTTATTGCAACAGAAGCATCAACTTCCTCAACTGCTGATTCCTCTGATAGACTGTTTCCTTCAACAGAAGAGAAAGATATATTAAGGAGAAACTGTATCTCTTCCACATTGAGAACTTTTTATTTATTCAATTCCTTGACTTTAATTTGTAGTTCTCATTTAGTTTCTAGAAGAAAAAAAAACATTACATGTATATTACACATATTCCCTGTTGTGTAACATTATTCTGTGTATTAGTTTTTTACATGTATATACAGCTACACTTGATTTTGGTTAATAACTATATACTGAAACTATTGAACAAAGATTGCACCTGTATTATAAACAATAATTACTTACTTCTAAGTTAAAGTCAGTAACAAGGAATATGTTTGTAGTCAAATGTATTCACTTGGTAACTACACAGTTTTCTTCAACACGTCTATCTTCCAACAAGGTATAGCAAAAAGTCAACGTGCTTGATTGAATTTGAATGCTTGCAAAACAATAACCAGATTTGAGACCTCAGTGTTTATTGGTTGATGTATAAGTTTGCTGAAAGGGAAATAGGATTTTATAACCATGTGCTCAAATGATAACTTTGTGCACCCATATCGTATATTGCTGAGTTCCTAACATCCCAGGATGATTACCAGTATTCAAACAATTATGGTATTTATTATATTGGCTCTGAACCATATAATAAATGTTTACACAGATTCAAAGTGCAGTTTTATTACTCTGGAAAATTCTTCTCTTAAACACTGTAGGATACTGTTCTTGGAGCCAGGGTCAAATCAGCTTTTTTTTTTTTTTGCACATACTTTGTTTCTTTTGTGGGTATCGTATTATATATTTTTATATTTACTTAGGAGGTTTTAGCAATTATGCAAATAAAACTTGAGATCTATGAGACAAAAGTATTTTTAATCTTTGACATAAAAATTACTGCACTCAGACTTGACAAAAAAAAAGATTCAATTTATTCACAGTCAAAAAATTCTTCATTAAAAAACTGATTTTTTTCATATAAACAACTTGTAATATTTACTAAACATCTGCCAAATTTTGTGAATATACACATACTGTATTAAACATTATAGTATGAAAACCATAACAAGCACAAAATGGTTACGAAGTCAGTCCCTGGGACTGAACCTGTAGTGAAAGGGTTAAATAGCTGTGAAAAATACATGAACATAACAGCATACTTGTTATTAAAATTTGTGAAAATTCTGTCATTTAAAGAGGAGTGAGTGAACTTGAATGAAGTCTTATTACATTAGTTATTCATTAGAATGATTCAGATTTGTAGTAGACATTGGTTTATTATGCATGAAGCTCTAGTAGTCCATGGAAAGTTGTTAATAGTCTACTGCATATTATGCATCACTACATAATATTAATTTTGGATAAAATTATCTACTAAATTGTATCAATACTTAGAACAAAATTTAATGAATTCGATAAAGCCTTAAAGTAATGTTTGTGTTCTGTGGCATAATAACAAACCTTTGTAACACTCTTATAATAACTACCATATATAAATATGTTCATTATTGTTGGTTATATTGAGTATGTGTGTTGTGTTGATGGAAATTTACTTTATGGATTTCTACTTTGGAAACAGTTTCTAATCAGATATGCTTCTTTTTCGAAATTATCTGACAGTGCCTGGCATGCTCGCCGCATGAAGCTGGACCAATGTTTAGAACTTCAGCTTTTCTACCGAGATTGTGAACAAGCTGAGAATTGGATGGCTAGTCGAGAAGCCTTCCTCAGCTCAGATGATATGGGTGGTGATAATGTAGAGGCCCTCATTAAGAAACATGAAGATTTTGATAAAGCTATCCAAGCTCAAGAGGAAAAGATCACAGCTTTAGCTCAGATGGCAGATCAGCTGGTGGCTGGTGACCATTATGATTCTGATGCTATCAAAGATAAAAAGGAACAGGTGTTGGACAGGTATTAAACACTTATTACATGTTTTTTGAAAGGTGTATTTATTTATTCAATTTTAATTTGGAATGTGAAAAGTATGGTTGGTTTTAAGTATTTTAAATTAGTATAGCTATTTTCATGAGTTATTGAGTCAAATATTATTGTTACTAACTATTCATTAACTTTATATGTGTATCAGATAATGTTTTTATCAATGAGTCAATTGGTTTTTAATATAATTTTTAAATGTATATTTACTGGGTTATAATTATTGGATTCCCATAGATGGCACCACTTAAAGGAAGCCTTGATTGAAAAAAGATCCAAATTGGGAGAGTCTCAAACTCTTCAGCAGTTTAGCAGAGATGCTGACGAAATTGAGAACTGGATTGGAGAGAAACTCCAGATGGTGATGGATGAATCTTATAAGGATCCTGCTAACATTCAGGCATGACCATTTTTCTCATCTGTAACACACACACACACACACACACACACACACACACACACACATATATGTTTCTTACATTCCATCAATTGTTGCTTTTATGGATGTGACGTGATATTCTATTGTAAGAATATTTTTGTCTTTCTTACCTTTTCATTTTCAGCCAAACAAAAGCCATGGTACTACCTATTAAGTTTACCATTACATCTCTTGTTTGTTTTTGTAGTTATGTTTAAATATAAATTCCAAGATACTTCATGTTTTGTTCTTTTTTGATTGGTTACGTCTTGCTGTGTGAATGTAAATATTCTCTTTCAGACCAATTTTTGCCTTTTTGTTCAGTTCAGTTCCATTATTTTAAAGAGGAAATTGTTAAATTTTTAAAGAATGAACACATTTATAAACATTTAACTTTTAAATTTTTAGAGCAAACATCAAAAACATCAAGCTTTTGAAGCTGAACTTGCAGCCAATGCTGAGAGGATCCAGTCTGTTTTGGGAATGGGACAGAACTTGATTGACAAACATCGTTGTGCTGACTCTGAGGATGCTGTCAAGGCACGACTTGTTTCTATTGCCGATCAGTGGGAGTATCTGACCCAGAAATCATCAGAGAAAAGTATGAAGCTAAAGGAGGCAAACAAACAAAGAACCTTCAATGCTGCTGTCAAGGATATTGATTTTTGGCTGGGAGAGGTATATATATTTAATAACTTTAATTTATCTTTTCTTTGTAACATGAAACTAATGAGTAGGAAAACCTAAACTGCAGTTCATATAGTGGTAACTACTAAAAGACTTGTATGTGAGTATATTATAGTTAAGAAAGGTATTTTAAACAGGAGTATCTTTAAAAAATTTAAAAATATTGGGTTAGAAAGATGTAATATTTGTGTTTTTAAATTCATGGGAAGCTTAAGTCGTTTCTACTAAAGAGGAACTTTCGAGGTGATTATTCTTTGTTTTGTACTTCTGGGGGATATTTGCATATTGTTTTAGTTAGCATTAAAAACTTGGAGCTATTAATGTGGAGGTTGTATCAGTATGGTAATTCTTTCCAAGTACGTGCTTAAACTTTAATACAACACACACAAAAAATATCTGATTTGCTTACAAAATCACACACTTATCTTTTACTGGTTTGTAATCATCTGTCAATAAAACTTAAAATATGGTTCTGCCACTATCAATTTAATATGTGGGACCCCCCTCAAAAATGGATGAACATTTTTTATTTGTGAAAGATAACCAAAAATTATATAAAAATTACAAATATTCTGAGATTTTTTTTTATAAGTATCAGTAATTTTGTACAATTGTAAATGGATTTTGATTTTTTTCTTATGGATAAGTGTAATCATGAAACTTTAATTTTGAATTTGTATCAGAAACAAAAGTTAAGATGAAATGACATAGTGTATTTAAAATTTAGCAGTTAAAATTAAGTTAGACTTAGATCTGAAAATGTGTGTTATACAGTACTTCGGTAAATGTCTTATGTATTCATGAAAATATAGTAGTATAAAATTAATACAAGTTTAATTTGCCCATATTGACCTGATAAAGTATGCACATTCCAGAGAAGCTTTGATTCAAAAAAAAGTATCTAGGTACCATAAAGAAATGAAAAATAAACAATGTACATTGTTGAAGTGTGTGTGAACACACATACGTACATACATACATACATACATACATGCAACTTTTTTTTTTCTTTAAAGGAAAATGTTTATATTTTTCATCAGTATTTTGGTGACTTAGGGAAAAATGTTCAGTTATTTAAGCATCTATTCAATATAATACCTATGTAAGCAAGCCTAGCAATAAATGTACTAACTTATAGATAGTTATTGTATTGAATGCTGTTTGAATAATGGGATCATTTTTTCTGAACTCTCATGATGCTGAACTGTATAGTTGTTCATGTGCTGGTAGAAATAAATTGTTGGTAATTTCAAAACAATTTCATGTATGTATATAACTTTGAGAAGCATTTAAAACTGTGTATTTTTTCAAGGTTGAATCATTGTTAAAATCAGAAGATTCAGGTAAAGACTTAGCCTCTGTTCAGAACTTGATAAAAAAACATCAACTTGTCGAAGCTGATATCACTGCTCATGAAGATCGTATCAAGGACATGAACAGCCTAGCTGACAGCCTGATCGAGTCTGAGCAGTTTGATGCAGCAGCTGTGCAAGAAAAGCGGAACTCCATCAATGAGCGATATGAACGAGTAAAGACCCTTGCAGCATATCGGCGGTCTCGACTGAATGAAGCCAACACGCTACATCAATTCTTCAGAGATATTGCTGATGAAGAATCTTGGATTAAGTAAAGCACAGTTCATGTTGTATTACACCTTCTACTTTCATAGTTATTAATTGTAGATTGTGGGCTGAAGTTTTAGATTAAAATTTAAGAACCATAAATTTTATAGCATAGTTTATGAAACATAAAATTAAAGGCTCAGTTTAATAACTATTCTTTAATGTAAATAAATGTAAACATTTAGGTATGAATTTATAAATGTTGAAATTCCTATCATTTGTTGTATGTTGGTACTATAGCCAGTTCAAAATATGTAAAATAATACCTTAAAGTTATAATATTGTGCTGATGTTTTTTAAAAGCTATCTTACTGTGTTTAACATTGTAGAGAGAAAAAACTTTTGGTCAGCTCAGATGATTATGGCAGAGATTTAACTGGAGTACAGAATCTAAAAAAAAAACATAAACGACTAGAGGCTGAATTGGCATCGCATGAACCTGCAATTCAGGCTGTCCAGGAAGCTGGTCACACATTGATGGCAGAATCAAATCTTGGGGTACCAGAGATAGAACAGCGGCTTCAAGCACTTGAATTGGCCTGGCATGAACTCAAGCAGGTAACTTGAATACTAGGAATATCTACTGACAAATTTTCCAAGACTGGACTTGCACCAGTTTAACTTGTTTACCATGTTACTGTTTAAAATGCATGTTTATATACTGATTTTAGATGTTGTTGTAGATAGCTTTTGACTTCCCATTAAGTATAATAGTTTAGCAAAGTATAGGTACTTTATTACAAGGAAAATTTGTATTAAGAATATAAAAGTTATCTTTCATGTGAAAGTAAACCTGTTATTAGTATGTAATATTCTGTAGTCAAGAATATACCAATATCAAGATTGTATTTTTTAGCCTCAGCATAGTGTCTCGTATAATGGCTCTTAGTTTTTCAAGTACAAACTTTTACCTCATTGCTCCATCATCTCTTGACTGATTTGAGATCTAACTACAATTTTGGACACAGGAGATTAAATCTTTTTGGTTGACGTATTTGACCACGCCCAAGGTCTCATAGATTAATTTACTCTAATCCCCTCTAAAAGAATTTCAAATGCCATGGCTATTGAGGATTCCCACTTGTTTGTAAATGACTTATTTTTGTTGATTCTTATATAGTTTTTAACCTTTTACAAGTGTTTTATTGGCTAGCTAAATAGTTTATTTCATTGCTGTAACACAGATGTCTGAAGATCGAGGCCACAAGCTAGATCAGTCTCTGATCTACCAACAGTTCTTGGCAAAGTTGGAAGAAGAGGAAGCTTGGATTTCAGAAAAGCAACAGTTGCTATCTGTAGAAGATTATGGTGACACTATGGCTGCAGTTCAGGTTTGACTTGTATTTTGTCTTTCATTGTATCTCCTGAACAGAACTAGTATTCAGGTTGACCCACAACAGTGTAAACAATTTGTTGAAATAATTTTAATATATTTTGTGTAGTATCGATGGTGAATTGTTTTTGAGTTAAATTACTTTAATGCAAAATGTGTAATGAAGGTATTTAATAATTGAACATTAGCAAATTGTGTGCTTGTTTTATTTAAGTACTTGAGAGGTGAACATTTAGCTAATGTATGTCCATATAACAATCATCAGTGTGTTTATGAAGACTTTAATACAAGTTTAATACCAGAACATTTTAATAAATCAAGTTTAAGAAATTAGTATTTAATATATACCTAGGAGCTTGAGGTGTTGACGTTTTGTTTTTAGGGTCTGATCAAGAAGCATGAAGCATTTGAATCAGACTTTGCTGTACACCGTGAACGATGTGCAGATATTGCCCAGTCAGGTGAACAACTGGTTGCTGTTGGGAATCACCACTCTGAAAGCATCAATCAGCGTCTTCAGCAGCTCCAGAACCGCCTACAATCCTTGGAAAACAGTGCCATTAATCGTAAGAACAAACTGAAAGACAACTCTGCTTACTTACAGTTCATGTGGAAGGCTGATGTTGTGGAGAGCTGGATAGGTATGTTATTTATTCTGTGCAGGAACTAAATAGTGTGATATATTGTTGGATTGTGATATAGGGCAGCTATTTGGCATGTGATTGTTTAAATTGCAAGTTGGTTCCAGTAGATTTTATGAAGTATGACCTTTTATTTAAATTTATTTTGAAAGTGTTGTGGTTGATGTTGCAAGTATGATTGTGCTTTAGGTTTTTGACCCCACATAGCTTATGAAGAACTGCTTTTTTATCTAGGATGTGTATTAATCTAAACTAGTTTGTCTGTAATTTTGCGTGACTGGTTAGAATGTTTTATAACACACAGGTTTAGTTTTATTTGGAGCATTAGGTATCATTTACAGGATGTGTTCACAATTTTCTATATATTAATACAGTTTCCAGTACTGCAGAGTTAGTAATTACAGGAAATTGTATTAAATTTAATGCAGTAATGTCATCTTTATAATTTTGTCTTTACATTTAGCTGACAAAGAAGTTCACATAAAATCAGATGACTATGGACGTGATCTTTCATCTGTGCAAACTCTGTTAACCAAACAGGTGGGAACAACAATTACACTACCAGCTCTAATAATTTATAAGCCACTGTTTTATGTAGTTATATTTCTCAGTTTGACTTAAGACCAATTCAGGAACAGACTTGATAAATACTTAGATATATTGAGAAAACATTTTAAAAAAATTGAGAAATCTGTCTAACCTTTTATGTAATTTAAATCTGTTTGAAAAGTAAATAACATTTGGAAAGCAAACTTAATGATGATCATTTTTTTTAATTGATTCATGGACTACAGTCATAAAAAGCAAGATGAATATTGTTCCTTAAGATTTGGTTTTCATGATTGTACTTATCAGAACTTTAATGTCTTTTTAAAAATAAATGGATATATATATATGAAGTAATTGAACAATTTTTCACAACAAAATTTTGTAATTTTGATGTATAATTGCTAAAATATTTAGTGTTACAAGTTTAAATTTTCAGTTATTGAAAGTACATTTTTTATTTTATATATGATAATGCTGTCAATAAAATCTTTTACATCCATTCAAAACAGTTAAACTTAAGTGTCTCTGAAAGGTATTCTTTAAAACAAATTATTTCTTGTGAAACAATTCTCATGGACAAGTGAAGCACTTAAAAATTAGTGATTTTAAAATTTGGTTTCAACTTCCATACCTTTTTTGTCATGAAATGTTTTCAAAGTAATAGTCTTGTTATTTGTTTGACATGTGTTACATATTTGATTATTAATTCTTGGTACATGCATGCACATGCACACACACACACAGTACTAGTAAGTCAAAGATCAACAGAGATTTTTCAAAATGAAATAAAACTGAAATGATACATTTTTAAAATCTGGAGATCTTTAAAATGAGAGAATTATTGTTTTAAGTTATACACAAAATGGTTTTAAAAAAAATTGAGTTTGGAAAGTTATTTGTTTGATCACTTGACCATACAGGACACGTTTGATGCTGGTTTGTCAGCCTTTGAACAGGAAGGAATTCAGAATATTACTCAGCTCAAAGATCAGCTGATGACTGCTAGCCATGAACAGTATCATGCAATATTGAAACGTCATGATAATGTCATGCAACGGTTAGTAAACTTATAGTTCATTTTATTTTTTAATAAAGTCTACATGTATACATTACATGAAATTATGTATGGTAATGTTAAGTTAATTATTGCTGGTTTTGAAACATGCATCCATTGTTTGAATTTTTAGTCTTCCGTCTTGTTTTAAAATTCATGAACTTGAAACCCTAATGCAGAGAGTTCGGTGACTGAGATTATGAAACTACATTTTTATGGTAGCAGGTTACTAAGACTAAATACATATTTCATTGATGGGGGAAAAAAAATGTTTTGTATGTGTGACAGTCAACCTTCATATTTGGTATTTAAAAGTTTGACATTTTTCACAAAGTATTTTTCATTTGTAGTTGGAACAATCTCTTGGCAGCATCAGAAGCTCGGAAACAACGTCTCCTGAGAATGCAAGATCAATTTAAGCAGGTAAGAGAAATTTGTAAAAGTGTTTAATACTCTTGGAATATTTTAATAAAGAATCTTAAATTATTAAAAACAAATCATGGTTTTTAACATGCTCAGCTTAACATTGGCAAACACCAACTAAATATATAAAGGTTGTAAACAAACAATTTATTAACCCTTATCAGCACACTTGGGGTCCATATGGACTCCAACAACTTTCTTGGTTGTATATGTTATTACATGATCTTTACAAATTTATATCAATTCATATAGAAACCCTGGATCAATATGACACTACTGTTTTCAAAAGTATGTAGTTATAATCTGATATTTATCTGTGGTCCACGTCGACCTCGTACTATCATTGTCTATCACTGTACGTGCAGTTTGCCCAATTGCATACAAAACAATTTTCTAAACATTTATTTCACTATATATGCTGTTATAAAGGATAATCAAAGGATACAAAGTAGTACAGTATCATCTGGTCTGTTTGTTTATAACATCATTGTGGTAAGCATGTATGTGCATCTTATTCCTCAACAAGTGTTCTCTGTGATGATTGCTTATAATGCCCTATTTTATAGAAATCTTGTTTGATAACTGTCATAAATAACCTTGTTGGATTTTCAATCCATAACCTACTGTAAGGATGCATTTGTGTTGGAGTCTGGTTGGACCCAAGGCAGCAGTCAGGTCCAGGGCAACCCTCACTAACTGTGAGATAAGAGTTCGTTTTTTCCAGACGGAGTATCACACTCTTTTATCTCATGCATGGGCACAGTGTTAATCGTGAATAACGTGACTGTATTGTACAATTATTACACTTAGAACACTAGTATAAATACCTAATATTTACACTGCCTATTTTTTCCTGCTATATATAGGCATTAGGGATGGCTGGTTTAACCAAATATGAGCTGAGATTTCAAATGGTGGCAGGAAAACCTAAAACATCACATTATTCATGGAGCAGTGAAAGGGTTCAAAAGGGGGGGGGGGTATTTTAAGCAGTCAAAGAAAGACCACTGTGGGTAATGATCAGGTAAATTTTACTTTAAAAAAGGGGATTTAAGTATTCAAAGAAAAAACTACCAAGATTTTATGACTACGGCCAACTTTACATAAAATTGAGTTTTTTAAGCAGTCTTTCATGTTGCTGGGCATGGTCTAATGATTAACATGCTAGGCTGCAGATAACAAGATCCAAGCCATGAGTCTGTGAACATGATTCACACTTTCATGTGTGAGACATTATAACTGTGACAATCCCACCATTCACTTGAGAGTGCTTGTGTATCTAATGGAAGGTGCTAATTAGTTGCCCTCCTTCTGGTCAACAGTTCTAAATTAGAAAAAGCTATACCTGAACATTGGGATCTCAGACCTAACCATTTAGCCCATGTTTCACATAAGGCATCATCAGAATAAGAAATATACAGTAGTATTTCTCTGATAAATATGAATAAAACTTTCAATAACAGATTCAAATCCAAAACATGAAGGTTTAATTTGACCAAAATTGAATTTCCTTCAGTGAAATTGACTTAAATTATCCCCACTCTTTGTTTTTCGTGGGAAAAATAATTTGTGGATAATATGTATAAAATTATTATCAGATGAGCTAAAAATTGTAAGTAAATGTTAGAAGTCTGTTATGGCTCTCATATGTATCATGTTGTGTATAATATCAAGTAGAATTTTTGATACATTGAAGTAGCTTTTATGACTTCATGTACATTGAGTTTGTATTTTTATAGTATTTACAGATTTTCATTAAGTGGGAGATGTTTCACTGAATTACTTTTTCTTTTCCCCCTGTCTTTAATGTGCAATTTGATTACATATTACTGGTTGTTCATAATAATATTATTTGAAATTAAATTAATCACAATTAAGCCAAAGAGCTTTTGAAAAATCTTTCTTTAGAAGTGAATTGGAAAGTTCTTCCTTGTGACAGTGTTCAAAGTGTTAGGTTTATTGTTACTTGTGTATATTTGTTTGTTTGTTTTGAAAAGTTATCAATTGAAAATAAGGTTTAATAAACATTTTCATTCAAAAATGTGATATTCCGATTTGTAGTACAAGTTTCACTCAAGCTTTCTTTTTTAATGGTTTTTCCTTTATTTTCAGCTTCTTGTTAATTTATTATACAGGCATACTTGGAAAATGAATTCAGTAGCCCATAATTCATAGCTTATTCCTGCAAAACTGCACTCTTCAACTTGGAACTGTAGGTGTGCTATAGGAGTGGTGATCAAATCCCATTAGTTGGTAGTGGGCTCTGTTGTCTAGCTGCCACTTCATCTACTCTGTCAGCTCAAAATGAGTGACAGCTATGTGCAATAGTCCTTTGTGTAACCTTGTACAAAGGTTCTGAAATATACAAACAAGTAATCATATATATAGTAAGCTTCAAGACTCCTCAAGAAGGATTTTCAATAATTAGTATTTATGATGAAAGTTAATTTTAAATAAAATTAGCTACTTTAATGTTGTCTTTTTTCAGATTGAAGATCTCTTCTTGACATTTGCCAAGAAAGCTTCTTCTTTCAACAGCTGGTTTGAAAATGCTGAAGAAGATCTTACTGATCCTGTGCGTTGTAATTCTATTGAAGAAATCAAGGTATGGTTTAGCAGTTGAATTTTGTAGTTTTTGAACAAATGAAATATATGTCTGTATCTGGTTTTATTGTAATTAAACTATTCAAATATCTTAAATATTTAATTTGAAAAAGAATGTTAAAAAATTGAGTTTTCAATAAGATTAGAATTTAATAAAACTGTGCAAATGTTATTGTTTAAAGATTTATAACAGAGTGAACTTTTTTTTCAAGTGTAATTTTTAGGGAATATTTTATTTTAAATGAAATGTGGTTATCTTTTTTCATTTCTTTTTTAGGCCCTACGTGAAGCCCATGCTCAATTCCAAATATCACTAACCACAGCTCGTGCTGACTTTGAGACTTTAGCCCAACTGGACAGGCAGATAAAGAGTTTCAATGTTGGACCCAATCCGTACACCTGGTTTACCATGGAGACACTGGAGGACACTTGGAACAGTTTACAAACCATCATAATGGTATAGCTTCTTTGTACATGACACTGTAGAAGTTCTCAGTACGATCTTGTTATTGCCGAAAGATTAGGGAGGATCTCCTGTTCTTACTTTATATAACTAGTTGGATTTTAGTGCCATGTACAATTTTTCAGAAATATAAACTATACAATATTTCTTTATAGAAGTATTATACAATAAAAAAGCTAGCTTGAGACATTAGTTATTGTTTTTTAACTTGAAAGTTTAGCAAGGTATGAAAGAGCACAAGGTGTGAAACAAACTACAGAAAAATGAGCAAGTACAATTTTAATATTTGTAATAGTATTTTATTAATTTGTGTGTTAACCTTTCTATACCTGTGTTAAAAACAGTGTTGTAAAACCTGAGAAAATATCAAGTATTAGCTGAATGATGATCCTTCATTTTTAAAAACATGAAAAAAAAGATGAATTGTTTTCTCTTTCTGCTTTTCATACACGGTTTCATTCAGAGACTGTCTTGGAACCATTTTTTTTCTTACAAGAAAGAAACAATAAATTTGTATTTGTGCAGGAGGTTACAATTGTGGTAGTAATGTAAAAATTGTACATACAGTGCTGTAAAACTCACTGGAAGTAATCTGTATTGTATACATTCATGACTTGTGTTACAGATGGGGGATTTATTTATGATAGGTCACTAGGTACAACAGGGTTGTAGTTATGTTATTAAAAACTAATTTTCACTAGTTACAACAAGGTTGTAGTTATGTTATTAAAAACTAATTTTCACTAGTTACAACAGTGTTGTAATTATGTTATTAAAAACTAATTTGCTTGATGTGTTTCATGGGTTTGTGTAAAACTTTATTGTCTATGCATTCTAAACTAAGAGTATGAAAAATGTTATCATTGGTTTTGCTAACTTAACCTGTTTTAATATAGGAACGAGATAATGAACTATCCAAAGAAGCTTTGCGTCAGGAAGAAAATGATCAACTCAGGAAGGAATTTGCTAGGCATGCAAATGCTTTCCACGAAATGCTAACAGACATAAGGTATGGCAATAAAATCCATATGATAAAAATTTAAAGTTTCTGTTAAAAGTTAATGTTATCAATTTGATTTGAGGTTTCAGACTGAACTTACATTTATTCTGACAGCAATATCCAAGAGTGCTGCAGATTTCTTGGTTGACGGATTTTAGATATTGAATAGTCCAAATTTTATTTGTGAGTGAAATACATAAATCTAATATGGAACGTTTTCCTGGATAAATCAGGTGAAATACAACATTTTAATACATTTTCTCAATATAGTGTTGTTGTTATTAAGCAATATTCAGGTACTTTTAATAATATATGTCTGTTCACATCAGTTTTTAGCTAAGATTAAAATGTTATATAAATTGCTTTTAAGTTAACAATATTATACTTTTTCATAGAAACAGTGAGCAAGTAATTAAATAATAGTAAATAAATAGCAATAATAAATAAATAAAAAGTGTTCAGTAGTTTACGGTTGATGAACTTGATCTAGTTCACACCAAAACACTTGTCATTCAAGTAATTGATGTATAAATAGTTTATCGACCACTACTATGTTTTTCGTTTCCCAGCCAGCCTCATTAGCCCTGGTACTAGGCAGAAGGCATTGTTGGCACTGGAAAAACCAGATATTATTGTGGTTGGCATATTATTATATATATATATACTTCTTTCCTTACACTTAAGTTCTTATAATTTTAGTTTATATTAAAGAACAGTTTGAGTTACGTGTAATGAATTTTGTTGATAGTTATGATGATTTTGTAAATGATTTTCAGAAAATTCCTTAACTTTCTATGAATATGTTTTCAGCTATTTTATTAGTTTTGTTCAACTAAAAATATCATTTTCCCTGCTGGTATGACTAAAACCTTGCTCTAATAATATTTCAGCCTAAATCCATAGGTGGTGTTTCAATTTTTTGACAGTTACATTTTATTATTATTATTGTCAATTAATATTAAAATATTTTGTAGTTTATTATATTAAAAAAGCTTGCCTGAGCAAGCCTTTAATAAAATTTTGTCTAATATGTTTTTGTCTTGTACCTGTTATTGTTCCTGCTCGTTGCTGTTTCATCATTCCTGTTGCTGTACAAACGTCACTGCTTCTTCAACACCATCACCATTTTGCACTGAACAAATAAACTGCACACAGAATGTGGTTACTTGATGGGTTAATATCTTTTTTGTTTTTCTAAGTTTCTGGTCTTTTTTAAAATTTAATGTATCTTTTTTACAGTTTGGATATTTTCTTATTTTATGAGCAGTGTTGTGTCACTTTTGTAATGTTAAACCTTGGAATTAAATGAGATCTAATTGGTATTTACAGTTTTTCATTCTTTTATCTATAAGGTTTTTAGCTGGTCTCATAACGTGGTTATGGGAAAATGGTTGCTATCTGCTGTGTTTAACAGTTTACCATTTTACTGTGAATTGCATGAGTCTTTCCTAATTGGTTTTGTACATGTATCTTTAATGCATGCTGGTTTCTTATGTTTACTCTGTTATCTTGTGAATGAAGAATTTTATTCTTGGTTTTCTTGCTTGTTTTTAAAATGTAGACTATTTCCTAACGTTATTCTTTCTTCTTGGTGAAGGTGAATTTGTTTTCTTGGAAATAAGTTTTGATTTTGGTGATTTGATGATACATAATTAGTGTCATTGTGCTACAGCTCTTAATGTATAATCTGTAATTGGTGGTTGGAAAGTTTTGAATTAATCTTTTGATTTCTGAAACTGATAGCTTAGTTTGATGATGTTTATTGAAGTGCATTTGATTGACATAACCAACAAACATTTGAAGGCATGGTGAATGTTTATGGCACCTGAGCATGAGAAATTTAGAAAAAAAATGTTTTTGAGAAGCAGAAAATTCTCTTTTTAATGCATTTTCTTAAATTTTGTAAGTTATAAAAGAGTACACAATATAAGTAAATAAGTCACTTCAGTGATGCTTAAATTTACATGTTTGAGATCTTTATTGCATGAGTTGTATGGCATGTACACCAAACAACTGATCATGGAATAAAAATGGAATTGTTTTACTGTTGTATTTTGCATTTTATTTTAAAACATGATCTCAGTTTCTAGTGCTGTTTATTTGAAATAAATTCTTAAAATTTCAATGTCTTACGAAACAATTAATACCTGATCTTTTATTTGGTTTAACATATTGTTTCCTGATAAACAGATTATACATATTAAACTAACTGAATATTTTCTTGTAAAGATCATCAATGATGGAAGGGTCTGGCACATTGGAAGCTCAGCTTGAAGCAACAAGGGTGAGGAAAGAATTTAGAATGCTGTTAGGAGCAAATAGTAAATTTTTAATATCAAAACTTGTATGTGGTTTTCTGTATGAACCAGTTGAAGGCTGATACTTTTACTGCTTATAAAAATGATTATGCATGAGTGATTGTAGAATAGTTTAACGTAGAATGTAGAATATCAAGTAAAAGTACCGAGGCATATTAAATGACATTTCCTGGGAAACTGCATAATCAATAGATCATCTACAATGGAATTTCCCAAGTGAAAGATTGGCTAATAAAATCAAATTACAGAAAGTTGGGTGCTGTGAATGTACATTGATGTAGGATCAATTGATACATTTCTGGATGACTTCAAGAGTCAAGTTAATATGAAAAGACACCCCTCCCTCCTACAAACACACAGTGATGTCGGAATTTGCTCTCTTTTTTTATTTAGTTTTAATAATGACCATAGTATGTTTACCCACAGCTAATTCAAATTGTAAAACAGTATTGCAAATCAAATACTGTTGTTTAATATTGCCAATTTCTGTCGTGAAGGTTTGAATGTTTCTTGACCATATCTTTAATGATATGCTGTTAAAGAGTTTCCTTTTAGGGCTGTTTAAAGTCCTGTTAATTTTGCATTTATGTTTCAGAGCAAGGCAGCTGAGGTGCGAGCAAAACGGGAGGACCTGAAAAAGATAGAGGATCTTGGAGCTCAACTAGAAGAACACTTAATCTTAGATAACCGATACACAGAACACAGTACTGTTGGCTTGGCCCAGCAATGGGATCAGTTAAACCAATTAGGCATGCGAATGCAACATAATCTGGAGCAGCAGATACAAGCACGGTAAGTTTTAAGACATGAGACAAAGCATAAAAAAATCTTCCTAATTGGATTCCCAGCAAACCTAACTTTTTCCATTATTAACTGAAGATATTTATAAATGTGAACACAACTATGTTAAATATCCCCCCCTCTTTATCCATTTGTTAAATCTTTTTTTTTTCGTCGATATTTTTTAAATTTTTCAAAATTTTTCTTCTCGTGTATGAGGGTGTTTGAATTAATAGTAAATGTTATTTAACAAAGTTAGCATTTAAATGAAGACCAATGATTTATGGTCTCTATTTTTTATATTAAGTTTCCACACATTAACAAAATGTGCATAGAAAATCACCTAATAGTGTGAATTATTTAAAATAAACAAGGTAGCATAATTTTTGTTGCTTAGCTGTGTCTATGTTAGCCCCAACAACTGGTTTTGTTAGATTTTGAATATTTTTTTTCATGTGTTTAATTATTAAGACTTGTAGGTGAGGGCTTTTAACAACTTAAGCATCTGGGGTCATTTATTTTCTTTGTATATTAGATTTATGATGCTTGTATTTTGTAATGATTTCTAAGCTATATTTTTTTCTGTCCAGAAACCAGAGTGGTGTGTCTGAAGATGCACTTAAAGAGTTCAGCATGATGTTCAAGTAAGTATCACTTAATTGTTGATGAAAAAGTGCTAATTTTTTTGGACATTGGGCAAGGTATGTATATTCATACTGATTTTACGAAAATATTAATAAAGGAAACTACTATGCATGTTAATAATTCCAGCAATAATCAAGAAGGTGTTGAAATAAATTTAAAAATGGGTTTTTGACTACTGCAGCTGATGAGTTGTAAATTGACAAAAATGTATTATAATTTTATACTTCAAATTTATTTGTTAATCATTAACTACATTTGAAATGTCCAGTTGCTGGACATACAGAGAGAGAGAGAGAGTACAATAAACTATCCTAGAAAATAAAAAAATATATTTAAAGGTGCAGATACAAAAAGAGACATTGAATATAAACTTAAACTACCATAAATTTCTCACTTCAGACATTTTGACAAAGAGAAGTCGGGACGCCTGAACCACCAAGAGTTCAAGAGCTGCTTGAGAGCTTTAGGATATGACCTCCCTATGATGGAAGAGGGCGAAGTAGATCCAGAGTTTGAAACTATTCTGGATATCGTAGACCCCAACAGAGATGGGTATGTTTCCCTACAGGAATATATGGCCTTCATGATCTCTCGTGAGACAGAAAACGTTCGATCTAGCGAGGATATAGAGAATGCTTTTAGAGCCATCACCTCAGGTGAACGTTTGTATGTCACTGCTGATGAACTGTATGCTGTAAGTATTCTCCGTAATTTTATTTTACATTGACTTGATGATGACAAGATATATACAACTTAGATGAATAATAAAAGACATTAATTTTAAATATGATGTGATGTGCTTAATGAAAACTCGAGATCTTAGATCATAAGTGTAATTTTAGGCACTACAGGAATTGTTTTTAACTTCATTGAGATTCTTTCTACCCTGCTTCGTTTTTTGTCCTGTTGTTATTGTTGTTTTTTTATTTTTGTACTTAATTTGAAATGTAATATTTAGTGTGGTCCTGGTCTTCAACATGCTTCATTTAGTATATCATTTCATGTTATTAAACTGCATTCTTCAACACCATTCTTGTTTAACATCTTACTTCCAAATTAAATATTTTCATGATTTGTAAGTTGCTTTTGGCTTAACGACACTTATAAACCAATTAAAATACTCTATCATGCTTTAATTTGTTTTCTTTAGAACCTTACCAAGGAAATGGCAGACTACTGTGTGTCACGAATGAAGCCTTTTGTGGATCCAAAAACTGGCCGTAATGTTTCTGGGGCGTATGATTATGTTGACTTCACACGTACACTATTCCAAAATTAATCATTCTTTAAGATGGCTGCTCTATTTTTATTATTGTTTATAACTGTATTGGGATATCTCGTATTTCTATGTGTATTTGCTATACATTAACTTGTGAAGTAGTGGTTTTGCTTCTTCAGATTTTCGATGATCTATATATATATTGAGAATAGATTTATAGTATTTTTGGAAATGTATAATCTGATACAAAAAAGAAAAAAAGAGTTGATTCTTGTGAGATGATTTTTCTATTGGTGTTTTTTTTTTCATTAGTATAATCTTATTATGGGAACAGAATTTCATATTATTTTTGTGTAAACGTTTTGTGGAAGCTAATACTATAACAAGGCAGCTTATGATTGGGAGCACACACATTTTATTATTATGGGATCAATAAAGTTGCCTTCTTAAACATTGCTTTTCGTTTCTTTTTATTTCTTCAGCTTACAACGAAATATAGGTGCTGTGTGAAAGAAATGTACAACTTGATTAATTAGGTAATTACAGAAAGAATAGAACGAAATTTTATATGTAAATTTAAATACGGTCTACAAATATTACATAGAAAATTATTTTTTTACTTTATGTAAACAGGAGGAGACTTTAAGGATTATAGTTCGATCATATCGTTTTCTGTATAATAGGATGGCTTAAAGTATTTAAAACCTTTTTTGTTCGCTCGCTGGAGTTGTTATTTTAAAAGATATGCAAAACAAAGTTTTTCAGAGGGGAAAAACACGAGACGTATTAACTCTTTTCATAAGGTTTAATAGTATATCTAATAGTTAGTTACTTATGTTTCTGTGGTTCGGATGTAATACAAATGTAAAATTAACCTTGACTTGTTCACGGGATCGGCCAAATTGGCCGATTTCGTATCTCTGAATTTAATAAATTTATTTAGTTTAATGATAAGTTTATAGCTTGAAAATAATCTTTGTCATGAAATGAAAATATATATATATATATATATATATATATATATT